TAAGAATTTGCTTCTCCATTATATTCTACGTAATTTTCTAGTATACTACACGTAATCATGTGTCAACAGATAATTTAGGTGTGGCTTATGTCATTAAGTTTATTGGTTTTATACAATTATTGATTTCCAATATTATTCACAAAATTATACTAAGTTTTAAACCGGTACATCTTATGTTTTATATTTTCAATATCATTGTAATTATACATAACAATTACATGTATTTAAAAATAAATTAAACATAAAAGAAGTTTAAGAAAATATATGATCAAAACGATATATTATTATTTTATTATTTTTTTAATAATTTTATATATATCGTAAATAACAAAATTTAAAAGATCGTAAAGCGTGAAAAATATTGAAATGATTACAACCGAATGAAAACTTTTTTTTTTTCTTTCCAGTAAAATATATTGTTGACAAGTTACTAGCTAAAACATAGTTGATACGTAATTAGAATCAGTAATTTTTAATGAATGTAGTAAAATAATATATAGCATGAAAATACAGTTCGAGTGCATTTATTGAATATAGGCAAATAACAAAAAGCGAATTAAAAATTCTAAAATACTAAAGCTAATATTGATTTTTTGTATAAAATACGTCCACATTTATTAGCGTTACTTATTACTGTTAATTAATTATGTATTTATGTAATGGTAACAAGTAAGGATAGATTACTCGAAATACCGAAATCTCAAAAAAGTTTCGAATTTAAAAAATTCGAACGAATAATTAAAAAATAGCACGTTAAATATTTTCTTTAGTCATTTCACCGATATTCATCGAAACGGTTGAACCAAGTAATGAATCACAGCATCGATAATACAAGTAAGGAGGGGATAATTCCGCGTGAAAAAATAAATGGAAAAGAAAGAATATAATTTTTCATTTAAGGTTTGGTTTTTGAGGAAATCAAGTTTAAAAATTTAGAAAATATACTTGAATTTAGCTAATTCTAGACGTGACAGAAAAAAAAAAATAATTAACAGGAGTTATTCTACGTGCGAAAATAAGTGAAAAATGTAGAACAAAATTTCACTCAAAGCTTCATTTTCAAAGAAATAAATCTTGAGTATGTTTCATTAAAAATTGTGCACTTGTTAAATTTCCTGTAAAAATAAAACACATCTTACAAAAAAATGTTATTCTATATTTTTACACAACTTCTTAAAATAACCTCCTATTAATTATTCTTTTCTGTTACGTCTAGAATTCGAACATACTTCATATATTTTCAAACTTGATTTTTTTCAAATCGAAAGCTTTCTATTCTTTCCCGACTTATTTTTGTAGAATTCGACTTATTTTGTCGACTTGTGTAGAACCACCTCGGTTGTATTATTTAAAAAGGGATGCTAGAATCTTGTAATCTGTATAAGAACAAAATATTGTTTAATTATCTACATTTCCTATCGGGATATTTTTTATTATGATACATTTGTTATCATGGTCCTTTGGCAACGTAATAGTATAATAACAGATTCCCGAAGATAAAGCACAGTAAGAAATGCGTACATAGGTTTATTATATATTCGACTGTTTCAGTGAGATGTTTGAATACCTCCTGAACCAGTTTGGTCGATTTTATTGAAACTCGTTATTGAACCTTTACTAATATCCTTTAGTGCTATGTAATTTGTGCTAGTGGAACAAACGTGCGTGCTTTCAATTTTCGTGTTTTGGATCAGTTTTTGTGCCAGTTTTTGCAATTATGGAGTGAAATAAGAGATAGTGTTATAGATGCCTATATAGAAAAAAAAAA